ACCAAGGGTGGCGTTCGCCCTCTTGACCACCACATCACACTGCTGATTCATGTTTAGCCTGCAGTCAACCAGCACCCCGAGGTTCCTTTCACAAGTGCTGCTCTCCAGCCACTTGTCACCTAACCTGTACTTATGACAGCTATTCCTATGCCCCAAGTGCAAGACCTTGCACGTATCCACATTGAATGCCATCCTGTTGTCTCCTGCCCACTTACATAGTCTGTCCAGATCCTTTTGGATCTGGAGTACCTGCTTCTCAGTTGTGGCCACTGCTCCAGTTTTAGTGTCATCTGCGAATTTGATCAGCAGACTGTTCACCCCTTCTTCCATGTCATTGATGAAAAGATTAAACAGGATCGTCCCCAGCACAGAGCCCTGGGAGACCACGCTTGTCACTGTCCACCATCCCAATGATTCCCCACTAATGCTTACCTTCTGCTTTCGGTCAGTCAACCATGCCCTAATCCACCAGACAGTGCTTTGGTGTATCCCAAAACTCCTCAGTTTCTCCACCAGGATATCATGGGGCACTTTGTTAAAGGCCTTGCTGAAATCCAGGTATACCACATCCACTGCATCCCCTCCATCTAGCCATCGTGAAACCTTGTCATAGAATTCCACAAGGTTTGTCTGGCAGGACCTGTTTTCGCGGAAGCCGTGTTGTGTGGCTGTCAGCCTCCCTTCCCTATCTAGCATCACTAGATCTCTCTCTATTATAAGGCTTTCCATTGTTTTTCCTACAATGGATGTAAGGCTAACCGGTCTATAATTCCCCATGTCCCTTCTACTACCCTTTTTGAAAATTGGGACCACTGATGCCACCCTCCAGTCCTCTGGAACTTCATCCGTTCTCCACGAGGTCTCAAAAATGGAGGCCAGCGGGTGTGAGAGAACCCCTGCCAACTCTCTAAGTACTCTTGGGTGTAACCCGTCAGGGCCTGGCGCCTTTGTAATGTTCAATGCCCTGAGGAGCCCCTCGACTTCGGGGGGGGGGTGACTTTAATCTGTGTCCCTAAGTCCCCAGCCTCATCTAATCTCCTATGCGGATATCCCCCGTCCTGCTTTGGGGAGAACACAGAGGCAAAATAGTCATTTAGCATCTGTGCCTGTTCCCTCATATCAGTCACTGGATCTCCTTCCTCCTTATTTAGTGGTCCCACCACTTGTCTCCCCTTCCTCTTCCTATTTACATGCTGAAAGAAGCCCTTTTTTTGCTCTTGATATTCTTGGCAAGTATCAGCTCGTAATCAGCCTTAGCCTTGCGAAGAATCCTTCTGCAGCGGGCCTCCTCCTCCCGGTATACCCTTTTTCTATTTGCCCCAGTACCCATTTCCTATGGAGGTTCCTCTTTCGTCCAATTCCTCTAACCACCTCTTTTCACATCTATGGAGGCACTCTCCTCTGCCTCCCTACCTTACTGTCTAGAGGTATCGTCAAGGCTTTCGCCTCCAAAACCTCCCTTTTGAGTGCTATCCACCCCTCCTCAACTCCCTTACCTTCCAGTAACCTATCCCAGGAGACTTTCCCCAATCTGGCCTTCAGATGACCAAAGTTGGCCCTCTTGAAGTCCCAGCTTCTAGTGCTCAACCTGCTGCCCGTCCGCAGTCCCCTGATCTCAAAGCAAAGGATGGAGTGATCACTCGCATCCAGATGAAGTAATCTGTACTTCATCTATCAGCTGCTCCCTATTGGTCAAGATCAAGTCAAGGATGTTTCCCCCCCTCGTCGCCTCTCAGACCCTCTGTGTGAAAAACCTTCCCTCTATAGCTTCTAGGAAGTGACATGACCTGGCTGTCACCACCGAGTGAGTCTCCCAAGTAATATCCGGGAGATTGAAATCTCCCATAATTACTGTGTCTCTCCCCTGAGATATCCTTAACATATGCCAGGTGAATCTCACTGGGAAATTATTTCTATATATAGGGTGTCACCAATGGATAATTTACACTGAGTTTGCACTGAAATTTACAGAGAGGCATTATAGTCATGAATATATATTTTTAGCTATACAGCAAAGACTAAGTTGAGAATCAGTTATTCACAAGCCATCATGTCTGTAGGAAAAGTCTGTCTGAATACCTTCAGTTATGAAGAAACCTAGAGCTTGGAACATGATTCAGCCAAAGTCAAAAACATTAGGTTCTTACTTATTTACAAGCATGGCCATGAATCTCTCCCTTTACAACATGTAGACTGCAGTTCTCTGTGCTCTGCTGAGCAGCTTTGTGAGATCTGCAAGCGCACTGTCAAGCTGCCAGTGCATCACGCCTAGTTTCGAACATATAATCTAAGTGCAGGAAAGGAGTCAATTGCTATTCTAAAACTGGAATTGTTGGACAGGAAGAGACTATTTGCATCACTATGTTTTTACAAGTAGCAAAACAGCACGATCTTTCAGAATTGGAATTGATGGAAACTGCATTGCTTTGAGCTTAGCCGTGAAATTTCAGGGACTGATGTTAAATCAATGTGAATATGTGATTGCTTTAAAGGTCTAAAAGAAAGCCCTGCACCCCAAGGCAGCATTGCAGTTGAAGAAGGTTCATCCCAGTTGAGTTGCACTCAGCTTGTATAGTATAGAAACTGTCTATTAGGAAAATCATCCTCATTATCATAAGTCCCTGCTGCCGCCCCTGCCCCCAGCCCATTCTAGGAAATTTCTACTACACAATTGGATTCTTATTAAATGTGAAGAGGCTTAGCAATGACAGAGTTCTGAGAATTTCTGAAAACTGCATGAATAGCAACTTGACTTCCTATAATCAACTTTCTACATGGTTGTATTTTGAACAGCTTCTCGTATTTACAAAATGCAATGTGCAGAGCCAGTATGGTGTAGTGGCTAAGGAAGGCCTGGGACTCAGGAGATCTGGGTTCACTTGGCCATGAAGTTCACTGAATTACTTTGGGCCAATCACAGACTCTCTCAACTGAGAAGTTATCAGGATAAGATTAAGAATTATGTAGGCTGCCTTGAATTCCTTGCAAGGAAAAAAGGCAGGATATAAATATTATAGATAGATAGATAGATAGATAGATAGATAGATAGATAAGGAGACTAAGCTCCCCACATGAAGTCTGTGTGATATAAAACGTTGGAGCTAAGTGTAAAGAAGACTTAGGAAACCTCTAGCCATGTTCTCCAGAGAAATGAAAAATGAATGACTTGTTCTCATCTTGCCTCTGCTTTCTGTAGATTGGCATAATGGTCTGCCACATATGCATGGAAACAGGAGCTTGTCGTCCTTAAAAATGATACTCTCTGCTTTAGGTTTTGAAATAATTTACTTATAAATCAGTTAACAAGAGTTTAGTACTGCTGTAATTCAGGCCTTGTTGCTGAATGTCCACAGCCAAAGGGAAGACACACACATTCCTTCAAAGACCTAATGAACAGTGGTATCTTTTCTACTCTAGAGTAATTGTAGCAGACTGGCTTCCTGCCTCTGCACTGCTGCTCCAGATATGTGTCTGTGGTGTGACTGCACCCCCCCAAGTGGGAATACACACATACGCACACACACATCAGAGGTGGCATATGTTGGAGCAGCCATTTGCTGTCTTAGAGTGTACATTGTTTCTAACCAAGTATGGCTACAGAACATGTGTTCTCATCATGGCCCCCTGCACCCATGACCTTGATGGCAAGGAGGTTCTGCAATGGCACCAGTAGCCAGGTTCAGCCGAGTGCATTGATGCAGGCCTTCTCGTTGACCAGGGGAGATTGCAGGTGGAGAGGATGGTGCTGGGAAACACATTTCATTGCCCTTTGTACCTACAGAAATGGAATGTCTTTGTGGGGCTATCAAGGAAGGAGGACGGCCATTGTTAGTGACAGCCACACATTTTTTATAATGTGTAGTTGTGCCCTTAGGACACATTTGCAAGGAGCCAATTAAATTGAAATTGCTATTAGGAATCAAGGAGCTACAGTAAGTGCGCTCAGTGAGATTCAGAAAAGAAACGGCTCCTCCCAGTGAAGTGGCAGAAAGCCTTACTAGTTATCCCAACCTACTTTTCAAAGCCCATTTTCAAAGAGGATTGCTGGATGTTCAGGACCCATAAACCTAAATTATTATTGCAAAGTTCTTTGGAATCTGATCTGTTTCCTCAGAAGGCATTATTGACATTACAACATGTGTGGAAATGCTGCTGTTTTGTGTCAACTTACTCCATCTGTGCAATGAATCCATCATGATTTATGTCATAGCATAATTTTGAAGAAGAGCAAAGAAGCTGTAAATGGAGATAATTGAGACATGCAATCCTATGTCCTCCCAACTTTGTTTGGTGGGGGGCATAAGAATCTACAGATACCCAGCACTGAAGTGCTTCAACACTGGTGCTTCAAGTTCCCACCCTACTCTGATCACTGCCTGTGTGGAAGAAACTACAGAAACTCTGTGCCAGGGGGTGGGGAAGAAGAAAGATGCTGGGGAGCTCTAGCTGCACTGGTTCCTATTATCACCCCAGGCTCTTTCCATCCCTCTCCCCAGCACTTTATCTAGATAGCTAAAAACATCCATCTATATAAGATGGATCCAGCAAGGTCCAGTGATGGCAGAATCTGTTGCTGCTGTGCCTTACTCCAGTTCACGGATGCTCCTCCATCTCGGAGTTCATACACTTACGTTCATCCAGGGCAGGGGATCTTAAGTAATCCACAAATAAGATTACGAGAGCAATGGATACTCTGATCTTTCCATGGATGTGTCTGTTTCTTCACAGCACAATCCTATGTATGTTCCTTCAAAAGTAAGTCTCACTCTGTCCATTGGGCTTACCGTGAAGTACACGTGTATAGGATTGCAGCCTTCGTCCAGTCTGACAGTGAGTTATCAAAGTCCAAGGTCTACCAGTACAGAGAGTTATGTATTTAACTGTTCAAGCTGGAGTGATTCACTGTTGATGTGAAACAATGTGGGCATAGCACTTAAAGTATAAAGGCGTAATAAATATAGTTCTCCACTGTGTCATTAACTTCAACATATTTCTTTCAGCTTCTCCATGGGTGGACAAAAGTCAAACACAGAACAAGATAGATTTGTATGATGTCCGTAGAAGACCATGGTAAGATTTACCGTTATGAGTCTGATGAAATTATGCATTGATAAAGTGCATGCTTTATTCTTTTTCTTCACTATTTTTCAGGCACATGAATCCAAATAAATTTACATTCTTCGTATGATGTATTCCAGACAGCATTAAATGAAAATTGTTTTAATTTTGAAATACATGTGTGTAGGAAATTCCAGCACAGATGTGCTGGACTACATATTCCATTATCCTTAGCCAACATGGGTAACAACAGCAGTGTCGGCTGGTGGTGATGGAAGCTGTAATCTAATGCATCTGGAAGGCACCAGTTTGGGGAACATTGATACTATCCATATATAAAATAACATTTTTATGGTTTATTGCTTAATAAAACCTTTTGCTTCATTTAGAGTTCATAAAACTAAAATGAGTCTTTACTCGGGAGAACTGTATTTCTGCAGAGAGGAGCATGCAATAAGGTTGTCATTTTGTGTGTGGGTGAAGAAGAGAATTAGAGTTCCTTGCAGATTTGCGTTTTTAGTTCTGTTAATTAGCAAGCGCATGACACTGCTTTGACTTTTGGCAAATGCTACTTTAGGAGAGGGAAAGCTCTTTAAATGTTTCCCCTCCAAACCTTCCATGAGCTGCTCAGTGGGGACAGTTTAGATTAGAGAAAGGACAGAGAAGGATGGAGATAAACAGACTCTTTCCCAGAATGCCACTTCCCCAGTCTTCAAAGAGGCCCTGTGGGGCTGCTAATTAGCAAACAAAGCAAGCAAGCAAACTATAAAACCATCAGGAATCTTCTCCATCACATCTTGTACAGACATGGACATATGCATACATATGTGACTTTGTAGTGGCTGTTTATCTTGCTAGAGCTGAGCAAAAGAGTAAGTTACCAAGTAAACTTGAGACCAGCACCTCTTTATCAGAGTCTTCCACCTTTTGTGTTGCCAAAGTGTATCTAAATATCTTCAGCATTACCAGCCGGTATCTGACCCATGGGTTATCCAGAAGGAAGATTCCTAAAGAGAAAATAAGTGTTTGCTTCTGTTTTCTGCTGGGATACAATAGTAAGACTCTTGATTTGTTTTTCTGAGATTGTGACTTGTAGGTCAAGCGCCAGTCAGTGCAGTATTTAAGGTGTCTATCTTTCTTACCTGTCTGTCATCTTATTTCAGGTACATCCAAGGAGCTGCATCACCCAAAGACATGCTCATTCTAGTTGATGCGTAAGTGGCAAAAGTTGAGGCGTTCATACAGGAGGGTAGGAAACTGTTGATCTTCTCAGTGTTTAAAAAAAAGTCAAAAGACTCCAGAACATAATTTTTAAATGCGAAGAAATCCAGTATACTTCATGAATTTGTAATATGCCACCAACAGCAAAAGCTTGATTGTTTTTTTGGTCAGCATCTCAGTTCCCAGGGAAATCAGTTGAAATTCAGTTCCCAAAGAAACACATCTGTCTTATCTTCATTTCTTTCTTTACATTTTCTAACCAAAAGTAACCTCAAGCTGTTTTTTGCCCCACAAGGGAAAGGGATTGGAGTACACCCCTCCACACACACACACACACACACACACACAGAAATGGTGCAGAAAGTGATAAAGATGAACTGGGAAATCTGGACAGGAAAGGCATAAGCAAACCCCATGCGCACACACACTCACTGGTACAGGCATTCTTGGAGGCTGCCTTCCATTTGATGACAAAAAGATACACGCAAAAAGATACACAGAGTGTATCTTGGTCCATTGTTGTAGGAACATGTTGGTCACTAGCATGTTGCAATGTCTCTTCTAAGTCTTATTCCCTGGCAATAAGAACTTTCAGGTAAAATATACATAAGGACCTTGCCCCCTTTTGCCTTGGGCCCTGCCTACACACTGGAGTGTGAACTCAAGCGGCTTCCCCAAGATGGAATTCAGCCTTTGAGCTGCAAGAGGTTCAAACTCCCTGTGCTACTGCATCTCATGAAATGCGGAAGAAATGACGGGAACCGAAGCAGCACAATTGCTGGTGAATTTATAAGTGCAATTTTGAATCCTTAGGGAGGTGCGCTCCGGCAAGGCCTTGGAATTGTATTCCAACGCTTTTGATCCAGTTGAGCATCGCTGCATTGTCATCTCCGTGCCAGCCCTTTTTAAATATGGCTCATACATTATTTATCCACCACTCATAAGGGATTATTTCATTTATCTGGCATTTCTCGCTTTCTCTGTTTTTCAAAGACTGTTTGAATGGGAAAGAAAACAATTAAAACCCAAGATGAGTAAACATCGCAGGTTAAAATGGCATTTTATTAGTAGTATTAGTATTTCTTTCTTTTTTGGCAGGGGAGGGGAGAAGAAATAGCAATTTGCCATTTTATTTTTCCACCAGCTGTTTTGCAGTATTAATGAAAAAATATTGTGCTGTACCCTAATAAATTTGAAGCTGCCATCTCTCATTGAGCAACCTGAATACCCTCCCAGAAGCTTTTTGTTAGAATCAGAAGGCTGATCTGGGGGTGGTGTTTGATGAAAGCCACTTAGTTTTATCTTTCATTGTGAAGGCCATTGCCAAGGAATATGTGAAGAATGACTTTTTCATATCTCTCATATATTTCTTTGTAATGCGGGAAGCTATATTTCATTGTACTTTGTCTCCACAGTGCATATAGCAATTAGTGCTTTTCAAAGCAGATAAATATGTCCCTATTGAAGAAAAAATGTTACAAAGAATTTTTATCAGAAGGTGCAATTAATTTTGAAATTTCTAAACTGCTTTTCTATTAAAAAATGTCTTTGACATGGAGACAAATATAAATATATCTAAATGTGCCCCATTTAATCAGGCTATGAGAACAAAAAATGTTTCCCTGGTAGCAGTGCTTGCTGTCACAGTGGTGTGAAACTCTTTCCCTAGGATATGTTCCAGGATTGGGGGCATGTGTTAAGGACAAGCAACCCTGTGGAAAAGGTCTTACCTCACAGAACAGGAAAAAATACATTTTTGTCTCCTCCCTCAGTTTGTGCAAGTTTTGCTCCATCCACTTTTAGTTGGTGGATGGAGCAGGGAGGAAGAAAGACAATCAATAACCTAGAATAGGGGCATTGTCTTGAAGAGACTCCAGAATTCCAAATGGAGGAACCTGGAAATGCTTGTTTGGCCACAGGTCTAAAGGTCCCCACCTCTGTCTTAGAGTATTCAAAAATATACAAACTGTCTTGTAAAGCATAAACTGCTAACTTTGAATCAACTTAATATTTTTTTTAACTCATTTGCAGGAGTGGTAGTGTCAGTGGATTGACACTGAAGTTGATCCGAACGTCCGTCACTGAGATGTTAGAAACTTTGTCTGATGATGATTTTGTGAATGTTGTTTCAGTGAGTATCCATCTCTTCTTCTCTTAATGCAGAAACAGCAGCCCAAGAAAGCTCTTTGCAAGCTAGCCATACACAAAAGTACTTAGAAACATAATTTCTGTATTAAAATTAGAGTTGCCATTATTTTGTTAAATACAGTGTTATAGAAAATTAATGTAAATTAAAAAAGAATCAATTTTAGAAGCATAGAAACAAAGTGAGTCTGATCCCCAGCTCCAGCCAGCTCTGCTCATATAATCCTCAACATGTGGTTGTCCAGTATTTCCTTGAACACTCTCACTGATGGGACCCCTTCCACTTCCCTTGGAAGCCCAATCCATATGCTAGGGGCCCTAACATCAAGAAGTTCTGGATGTCCAACCTGAGTCCTCATTTCTTGAGCTTTGCTCCATTGGAATACCCTGCCCTCCACTGCAGGGAAGAACAGGTCACAGTCCTCCTCTACATGACATCCCCCCACATATCTCTAAGTTGCTTAAAGATCCCCTCGGAGTTTCCTCTTCTCCAGGATGAAAAGACCCAGTTCCCTCAATCTCTCCTCATATGTGATCCCCCCCAACCCAGCTACCATTCTTGTGACCCTGCGCTGAAACGATTCTAACCTTGCTATGTCTCTCCAAAAATGTGGAGCCCAGAACTGGATACAGTGCTCCAGTTCTGGGCACACCAGAGTCATGTAGAGTTGTATCATCACTTTCCTAGATCTGGAAGCCACGCTTCTGGCTGTACATACAATTTTAGGAATTTGGAGGGAATGAAAGACAAGCTAGTATATTGTATACATCTATAATGAACAGAAATCATATCCAGATGTTTTATTTTGGAATTAATTGAAAATGCATGTGTATTGAAGATTGCTAGTTTTTAACTGTAGCCATGAGAAGCCCAAAGGAAGATGTGCTCTGCAGATCTTCACTATATTTAGTTTTTAGTCACTTAGTCCCTTAGTTTTAAGGGAGTATAGTGGTAACATTCATTTTCAGTGTACTTTGTGGTGTCTGGTGAGCATTTCTCATATAGAAGAGTTAGTAGCAAATTTGCTTGGTTAAGCTCTTGCAATTTCAGTGATGAAGATGTTGATGATAGAGATGAGTAATTATAGTGGGTGAAGGTAGGCATCATATGGCTTTTCAGAAGTTTTGGACAATAACTTCCATCATCCCTTACTCTTACCTTTCCCGTCCAAGGCAAATGAGAGTTGTAGGTCAGGACTGTAGAACCTAAGACTTGGGGCATGATCTGGACCTCTAGGATTCCCCAAATGGCCACATCATTTTCCTCTTTCTCCCAACCACCCATTGTTTGTGTATTTCTTGACTTTTGCACATTTTTCTTCTACATTAAAACACCAAGTTGCCTCTTCTAAGGTTTAGCTACAGGCAATAAGAGTAAGAGTTTAAAGCTAAAATGTGGTTGCATTTGATCCTCCTTTTCTTTTGGCCCTGCCTACCACTAATATGTGGCAACAAAGAGCTTCTCTGAAATAGAATTCAACCTTCTGGTTGAAGGAGGTTCAACACCGTATTGTAGGACAAAAGTCATCTAGTGCCATTATAGAGTCATTAATGAGCATGCTATTTTAAGAGTAACAATAAAAAGATGGATTTCTGCATCAAGGATTTTTATATGAAATGTAAACGTGTTTCATCCTGGGCTCAGTTTCTTACTCTGGCCCTCTCTGTTAAGCTGTCCAATGTCAATGGTAATCCACTGAAAAGGGAGAGCTGAGTGACATTTTTGCTTTAAAAATAATGAGAGACAATCACCAAAAGGCTACTAGCTATCTTTAAATGGTGTTGCCAAATCCTATAGACATTCAGGGCCAAACCAAGCATGGTATGGAAGAGCCAATCATAGACAAAGACATCGTCAATTTAGGGGCAGGCACAGAGTGCAAATAAGGTCAAATAAGCCCTAAAGTTCTTATTTTCCTATTGCAGTTCTCTAAATTTGCTCCCTACCTTGAAGCTACTATCAGCTCTGCACAATTTCAGCTAGGCAAGTGTGAGGAGTCTTCTGTGTGTGTGTGGAGGGGGGGGGTCTAACTCCAGCAGATTGGCACAATGAGCCCCCAGATTCCAGTCCTTCCAGCCTGGTGCTGATCCCCTTCAGTGTGTGTGAAGCCAGCACATGGACTTCTGCTTTTAAAGCAAGTGATTTATTTATTTATTTATTTATTTATTTATTTATTTATTAAAACATTTCTATACCACCCCTTGCCAAAGCCTCGGGGCGGCTCACAGCACAAAATAAAATACAATAAAATACAAAAATAACAATATAAAATAAATAACAATATAAAAGAAGTGATGATTTGCATATGTTTAAAAGAAGGGAATGAAATTTGCCACAGTCCATGTAGACTGCAGCTATCTTTTAGCCAAATTTCCTTTTGAAAAAGCCCCTTTCAACCCCTAACCCACCTGGCCTCTTTCAACCCAATCACAGCCTGCTTCAAAAACAGAAGCCACACAATTCCCATCTCTAATTCAGCCCACTTTCTGTTCTTGAATTGACAAGGTCTGTTGCGCACAAGAAGGTTGAGTTCTTCAGTGTCTCCCACCACTAGGCCTAGGACCAATTTTCTTTTCCTTTTAAACCAGGGACTATATACGAGTCTTGACTTGGCCCAGAGCTAAAGGGCATCAAGATTGGTTCTATGGCATGAATCAATCTCACTAACATAGTGAAAGTTCTTTTTCCTTGTCAATTTGACCAGTAACTGCTGATCTTCCAACCAGTGTTTGTTGCTGTTCATCTCAGAAGGGAAAAGTATAAAAATGCTATCGGCCTTTGTCTTCTAATGAGCAGCAGAGATGCATTAGAAGTCGAAGAGTCTGCCAAAACATCTGTTGTTCTTTCTGGGAAAAAGTCACTGAAAAGGATCTTGGACTGTGTGGAGTAACTAAGGTTGTTCCTTGGATTGGAGGTTGTAATAGGATCGAATGAACAGCCACAGATAACTTTCATTGTGACCCATTCCCAATTTCCTAGTTTTCATTGGCATCTCAGATACTAATTACTTTCTAGTATATGTTCAATTATAGCTAGAATTTATCTTGTATTTACACTTTTATAGCTTTGTTTTTCTTTGATTTTCTCTTCTTTTTTCTGGGATGCTCTTTGAATACTTAATACTTGAATACTCCCCAGATCCTTGGCCAAATGAGGTGGAGTGGGGAGATGAGGTGGCACCAGATTAGAAGTGAGAACCCCCCTGGTTCCACTGGGATTTTACATTTAAATAACTCTCTGCAGGAAAAATGTGACCAAACCTGTGCATCAGCATGCCGGCGTTCTCTCTTCTTCTCATATCTTTTGCCAAAGTTGCTTCTTCAAAGAATACTTTGCTGTGGATGTCAGAGAAGTTTTGACTCAAAGAATTAATTCTCAGGGGAAGGGAAATTGCCAATAAAGGTGTTTAACAGCATGGGGCAGGTTTTATACTGGTATTATGGCCATCCCAGAATGGTGTGCAGTCTTGTCATAAACAGCTAGAGAAAAGTGGATGATGACAATTCAATTTAAATAGCATATAATGTTAAACCTGCATATCTCCATAAATATTATATGATAGTTGATTGGAGTAGTTATGGCTGAGTGGATTTCAGTAGAAATCTTCCGCTCCCTTCTTCCGCTTCCATTTTGCGAATAAGAAACGGAGACTCAGAACTTCAATGCGCCAGGAGTTCCACTTCGGGCTATCACAGCAAGAACAAAATAGCTTTGGCTTAGTAATTTTGATTGTAGAGCAGAGGTGTTTTTTTTTTTAATCATTCTACTGCTTTGATTGAAATGATTCTGTATAATCAGAGAGGCTGTCATCTTTTCCAGCCTTCTCTTATTTCATTTAATCTGCATATGTGGTTTAGGCAGCAAAAGCAGTTTCCCTGTTCATCCCAGCCCTACCTGAAACTAAAGCTCATTGTAACCAAAGAGTACTATTAATGACACAGCAGGAATAAAAAGGGATTTTAATTTCTAAATTGCAGTTACTCTTAAGATAGAAATGTATGTAGCAGAACAAATAAAACACCCAGCTCAGTCCAAAATCGACATAGCAAAGCAGGTTTTTGTGGGTTTTCTCCTGCTGGTTTTGAAAGGCTGAGCAAAGCAAGCTTCCTTTGAGATACAAACAGAGCACCACTGAAGGCAGTGGTGAACACGTGACCAACCTGTGAGCACGTGACACACAAGGAAAAAGGGAGGGGAAGGAATGGTGATAGGGAAAGAACATGGCTTCCCAGAGGAGAGCATAGCTAGCCACCCCTTTGGTGGAACCCCACAACCACTGGAGATTACCAGAGGGTGACATTTGAGCTACCAGCTTGGCATGGGTCATGGAAGAGTCCCATGGAGTTCCACCTGGTCTTACGAATCTGCTGATTCTGCCCTGGCAATTCAGCCATTGACCACATGGGCACAGATGGCATGGCTGTCAATCTGGCCTCCCTGCTTGCTTCCAACCCGGCTCCCTCCACCTCTAGAACCAACCTCAACATTTAGCACTTCTGAACCCAAAGGTTTTAAAAAAGAAATACCAGAATTAGTATGCACAACTGTAGTCTTGTACATCTGTAGGCTCATGGAATATGTACCTCCCTAGCCATAATACAGTCCTCATAAAAATGTTACTGCTGCAGTTATTACATTTATTTGGTTTATATCCCACTCCCCCTTGCAAGGAGCCCATGTAATCAGATGCTGGACATTCTCAAGAGCAACAAGAAATGAGCTACATACTCTGCTTCCACGCTGTCCTCTTACAAAAACCTTAATATCAGTGCCATTGCCTGAGTCAATGAGATTTACACATATCAAGCATTTCTTAAGCAGCAGGTATTGACTCAGCCATGCTAGATATTGTGAGAATTCCTATGACACAAGGTGAAAGTAGAGTGGGGGATCCAGGTTGTTGAATCACATTCACCCTATACCTTCTGTGCAAGCCTTTCATTTCCTAATTCCAGGGAGGAAAAGGCTGCAGGAGGTATTGAAGC